ATGAGTTGATTTCCTTAATGTATTAGTAAATATTATCCAAGAATATTGCGATTTTTATTGGATGTGATCTCGCTTTGCCTAGCTAATGTTTTCACTTTTCAGCCTTTCGTTTTCTTCAAAATCTTCTTAAGTAATAAAGAAGAGAATTTCCAATGAATCACCTATCAAACGGTAAATAATCTCACTTTGATAAAGCTTTAACACGCTTTACAACTATTTGACTAAACATCAACAAACATACAAAAAAATTGTCACAAACATTAAAATGAAATATTTTGTGACCATGCCTCACAGCTAAAAATTTGTTTACCAATTCGCTCAAACACAGAAAAAAAGAAGAGAAAAAAACTTCTTCAAATTTAAAACGCTTGGAAAAGTGACATGGCTACGGTTAGTTAAGAGAAGCTGCTCTTTTTTAATTTGTTGGTAGTTAAGAAAAGTGACGTGACCATGACTAAAACAATAGATTCTTGAGGACTAAAAGGACAATCATTATGAAGCAAAGTATAAGGAGTATCGTCGCACATTTCACCATTGCTCCTTCTCTTTGTGTTCTCTCCGCCTATTCAAACATCCAAGAAATATATCTCTGTGAGTTCTCTAAAGTATCACAAAATCTAAGTAGGAGTTTTTGGTAAGTAATCAAACCTTTTGTAGTTGTTTATAGCCTTCCTCGACGGATGTAGAAACGTTTTGGATATTGTAGTCTATCCGATCAACTATTGTGCCCTGATTGATTCAAAACACACAAAGTAACTAATTGTTGACAGAGCAAACAAAAAAGCTTTGTATATTCACTTAATGTATATTTTTATATGCTTAAATGAATCAGCTTGAAACCTGGTCAATCACAAGAGCTGATATGTCCTTCATTATCTGTGCAAGGTCATTCACAGACCCTAATACCTGGAGAGAAATCTCAAGTTAATCACCATTGATATGTAGAAGCAACTTCTTTGAGAATGGTAGCGTAACAGCTATCACATTACCTGCTGTATCTCTCTTTCCCTTTCCTCTGAGACATGTTGCCCTTTCTTCAACTTGATCGTCTGGTGTTCATGGAAACCCTACATGTGTTGAATACTAGTGATTCTCATTATGATATTGGCAGTTAAATGAAGGCAATGGCTAATCAATTAGGAAAAGATAATCGATCTAAAAGAAGCGTTTCATAAGTTCAAAGTGATTCCTTAGTGTCAATGATTATCTTACAGAGGAACTAAGAACTTACCATCCTACCAAGTTCATCTTCTTCATCCAGTCGCGACGTCTTTCCATTCAGGTTAAACTCCAAATCTACTTCATCCTGACCCTATGATTTGAGAATCCAAATATGAAATAGGAGCATCAAATTAGGGAACATGCATGTCTCAGAAAAAACAAGTCTTTTTTTACTTTTTGGAAAAAGGTGGCAAAAATACCTCTTTCTGATGCTGACGACGTTTCAAATAAGTAGATTGTTTTCTCCGTAGCTCCATGGAGAGGTCCTGAAGATCTGTTGCAAGAGAACGCTGTCAAAAACAGTATGTCAAAGAGTACGTCAAGTCCATTGGAGATCCCAACTAACACACGTAGACAGAACTTAAACCTCACGCTACAAGCTCAAAACATAACTAACCCTAATTTACTTCACACAAAAGGTTATGGCCACACATTCTTTATCAATATCGAACAAAGTCCAACAATACCTGCACATTTTTCCTGAGATTTGATTCTTCTGAAAGCCCTCTAGTAGAAGATAACTTCTGCAATCTCTTCTCTGACTTCCTCAACAAATCCGTGATTTCATGAGTAAGCATCTCAACTACACGTTGATTCCCTTTGTTATCTCCAAATGTAGGCATTAAAGCCTTCGAATGAGCCTTTGCTAATTCACTCATTTTATCTCGCACTTTCTGTATATTATAAGTTATCTCCTCAGAATCATCTACCCAAGCTGGTGGTAGACCAATTGTGAATGCATCATTACTGCAAACATTCCAAAATATCAATAAGTTTGTATTCAATCATCCAAGAAAATTTATTCAACTCGAGAAACTAATGAAAATGCAATTTGTTGAATCACTCTGCAACCTAATTTCCTTAGGGTTTCTAACTCTTGCTTCATGATTACAATTAGTTTCTATACATAATCACAATTTCTGCAGAAATCAAAACTATACATCCATAAACCATAACGAAACTGAAACGAGAACAAAAAACCCAGAAATTACCTCGAGGGACCAGGATCATTGGAATTCAAAGGAGCATAAGAGGCGTGATTGGACCGAGTAAACGAACCGCTAACCATTTCGATCACCGGACCACCGAAAGAATCAGATAAAGGAGCACGAGCGCTCTTGCACGCATCCCTGTGTTTCCTGTACACCGTCGTTCGATTCCTCGTCGCCATCAAAAGCCCGATCCACCTCAAAATAATCGATTCTCAAAACACAAAAGTATTAAACAAACGAATTTTCCAGGGAAATTTGGGGATTCCGAGCTCAGATATGACGAATTTGTCGCGTCGGAAAAATCAATGAATCTGCTTTAGCGCGTGTTGTAAACTTAACCACCAAGGAGGGAATTATTTGGGCTTAAAAGTAGATTAGGCTTTTTAAAGGCCCATTAATATATTTGGGGCTTTTTGCTACTTGCCGTACTACTTACGGTCAATATAAGTGTGTGGAGCACACGTTTTCAGACGATGACGCACTTTAAAAGCTAAAGTCTTCAAAAAGACGAAAACGCCCTTTCACTCCCATGTGTGCTCAAGGCGGTTTAATGGAGTGTTTAATTTGTTATGGATGGTTTGATACGG